TATGTATATATGCACATAATGTGTGCTAAAATGTCAAAAAATGTCATCTCAAATAAAAATGTCTTTCCAGCAACTTATAAAATTACTTGTGATAAAGAAACATCAAGTTCTAATAAATTAAAGATCATTTTCTTAAAAACAGATAAATCCTATTTAGGATTTATTTCACCTACTATTTAGAGGTGAAATTAAGCAATTTACCATATCTGGTATACCAGTAACTACTTGGATTGACTAAGAAGTACAAGCATATGACATTTGTCTGAATATTGAGTATATCACTGTTCAAATTTCAAAAAGATAAACAAATGAAATCACCCAACAAGTACAAAATTAGGACATAGACACACATTTGATCTAAAATAGTACCCAAACACTTTTTCAGCAGATTATTTGAATTCATATATATATATATATATATATATATACACACACACACACACACACACACACACACACATATATATATGTATGTATATATCCATATATATCCTACTATACTTGAAAATGAGTTAATTAACTTAGTTCAAAGTGTTTAGATAAACTCAATGAAATATAATGAAATGCCTGGGAGCTAATAAGTGCGTAGTAGTAGTACGTGTCTTGTTCTTAAATTCTTGATCAACTACAAGTTTCTGATTTTAAACCATAAAGCAAGACCTTTCTTCAGTGGCTGATATGTGGTATCTAACTTAATAACCATTAAGAAGAGGAGTCAATGGGAAAGCAAAGAATCAAAAATGATTGCTGGGTTTCAGGTTTAGGTAATTGAGGTATGTTGATTCCACTGCGGTAGGGAATATTGAAGAAAACAGATTCACCATCTTGGAGGGAGGGGGAAAGAATGGGTTCAACTGAAGATGCTAAGCTTGCTATGAAGCAAGAAATTTGAATACAGGAGTCCTATAGGCAGCTGAATATATTCATCTGTACTTTAAGAGATCCAAGTACACAGAAATAAATTTGGATGACTATCAAGAAGACTATCCTTTTTGGCTGCCATTGCCCTCAAAAAGTTTTTGTCAAATTGTCCAGTTTGGTATAAATGAAAATGTGAGTGTTTAGAAAAGGCAACAAGTAATTCTACTTTATCTCATTTCCAGTTTATAAAATCAAGCTCAAATGACTCATATCTTTTAATCCAAAGTTTTCTAGAATAGATAATTCCTGTTATCTGGCTTGCTTAACACAAATTCTCACATAATAATTTTCCACTTATGTCTATTTGGTGTCTTAGACTGTTTTCTATGCATTTTCTATTATTTGCTAGTCAAAAGTACCTCATATTGGGAGCAATGAAGTCTGATAAAGTACAATTAAAGTCATAATATGTAGTTTCCTTCCCACATTTTAATTGGTGCATTATAGTCGTGCCTAATGGTGCAATTTCTTGTTATATATTTGTATATGCACCCAATATGATGATATAATTTGGCCACAATCACTCCCCAGCACTTTCCTCTCCCATAGTTTTCATCACACTGTAGTAAAAACTTGGCATTTTTGGTATTTTTGTTTATATCTGCCTCTTCCCATATTTACATCCTTCTCTCTCATTCACCATCTGATAACATCTCTTTTTTTCTGGCCCACAATAAGCAATTAATAAATAGGTGCCTACTAAACAAATAAATGAAAAGTTACAGGTAAATAAAACAGCTTAAACTTTCTAATATACAATAATATCATATGCTATCTTGAACACTGAGTTTGTCAAACACCTTCCATGTGCTTTAAGGTTCACTTCCTCCATATAGTCATTACAAGGTTAAGCATCTCTAATCTGAAAATCTGAAATCCTTAATACTCTGAAATTTGAAACTTTTTGAGCATCATGTTGGTATTCAAAAAGCTTCAGATTTCAAAGCACTTTGGATTTCAGATTTTCAGATCAGGGATGCTCAATGGGTATGCAAATATTTAAAAATTCACAAAACTCTGAAACCTGAAAACATTGGATCCCAGTCACTTCAGATGATACACAACTTGTACTATCATCTGAAAACAGTTCTCATCTTTCAGCTACATTACATAAGCACTGTTCATTTTGTGTCCCTCACAGTGCCAGTCACGTGAAGGCAAACAACATATTTTTTATAGTTCAGCTCTTCCAAGTTACATAGCAAATCATAATGCTTTATAGTAATAAAATGCTGAGGTCATTCACTTAATTTTTCTGTTGAGTTTTAAAGAGAAGGTAAGAGGAAAAAAAATTACCAAAGATGTCCTCAAAATGAGCATCAGTCTGACAATATTTCACTTTTAAAAACATCATTTTTGTACACTTCATGAATATAGTCATTATATAAAGAGAAGCACACTTGTATTAAGTGTCAGCCTTTGGCCTAAAAGAAGCAATGAAGTTGCAGTGTCACACAGTTGGTTCTCTTGTTGCTCAGCAAGACCTAGGTAGGTTTCCAATTAGGACAAAGATGGAAAACAAGAAATTAGAAGTGACTTTATCCAAGATTTTGATTGGTCATATTTGCTGCTCATAAACTCATTCAAGGGTTCTACTTTATAAACTTTTGAAGATAAATAGAAAAAAAGAATGTTTCCTATCTAGGTTGCTACAGTAATGAGCCGTGGCTGCTTTTGTTATTTCAGAATCCATTTCCAATTCAACTTTCTCTTGCTCCTGGAAGAAAAGTCATTTTTTGTCTTTCTAATTGAGAGTAAAAAAATGCCCTAATGTGCTATAAGGAAACCATTACAGTTGATGCTAACCAAATATCATTTCATGTGCATGCAGTTTGCACAGTATCAAGTTTTATATTTGGGAAAATGGCAAGATTCTGGCTATGGTTAAATCAAAATGTAAGAAAACCACCTCCCCAATTGGTGGAATTTTTTTTTAATTTATACATATATTTTAGTTGTTGATATACCTTCATTTATTTATATGCAGTGCTGAGAATCGAACTCAGTGCCTCACACATGCCAGGCAAGTGCGATACCACTGAGCCCCAGCCCCAGCCCTGCGTTTTATTATTATTTTTGTAATATTTATTTTCAGGTGTAGATGGACACAACACAATACCTTTATTCTAATGTGGTGCTGAGAATTGTCCCAGGCGTGCTAGGTGAGCGCTCTACCACTAAGCCACAATCCCAGCCCTATTCTTAAGGTATAGACCAATTATTTCATATCATAGCATCATCACACCTTCCCACATGTAGATGATCTGTGCAACTTCAGGTTTTGAAAGGGATTTTTTTTTTTTTTTTTTTTTTAGTTATTGGCGGGCATAACATCTTTGTTTGTATGTGGTGCTGAGGATCGAACCTGGGCCGCTCGCACGCCAGGCAAGTGCGCTACCGCTTGAGCCACATCCCCAGCCCTGAAAGGGATTTTTAAAAAACATTTTTAGTTGTAGATGGACACAATACCTTTATTTTGTTTATTTCTATATAGCGCTGAGAATTGAACCCAGTGCCTCACATGTGCTAGGCAAGCACTCTACCACAGAGCTACAACTCCAGCCCCTTTAAAAGGATTTTTATTTACAAACTTAAGAGCATACAAAGTTAAAAACCCACGTATTGGCCAAATAAAAAGTTTTATTTTTCCTCAAAATTATATGAATCTGTACTGGAAATGTTATATAATTTTCTCTATATACCAGGCTCATGATTAACATTAGTTGGAAAACAGGATAAGAATTAGATATGAGATCTGAATTCTTCATGAGTTCTGCTATCAACTCACAAATTAAATCTTAGTTGAAATCACTGATTCTTTGTGGTAAAATGAACTGATTTAAACTCACATGGTTATTTTTGGGCACACAAGTCCTCTGCAAATAATGATTATACTTTGCTGCTTGGATTTTCATAAATCATTGCACTTGTAAGACTTTTTTAATACCTGTGAAGATGAACAACTATATATTTTCAGTTGCTCAGCCAGTCTTGCTGCCTTAGAAATATCCTGGAACAGGTGAGGTTGTCTCAACTCCTATTCCAATTTCTTCCTTTTTGTCAAAATTCTTTGGTATTCAACATCAGCCTGTATCTCACACTTTTAATTTTAGAATCCAACATTCCTTACAACTGTTAATTTTTTATTTAGATATTAGAATCCCCTTTTTAGCTATTTAACAAAGCCTTGGCTTAATCCAGATGTAATACCTCTAAGTGTAAATATTAAGAATGCTGAAGGTCATCTAATCCTTATAAGAAATATAAGATTTCTTGAGAAATATTTCAGAAATTTAAAAGATGCTTTAGAAAGGAACTCAGCACCTTAATCTTATAGTTTTTAATGTCCTTGTTTCATACCCTGCTTCTTTAGAAGCATTTTGAACACTTTAAGTTGTCTTCTAGCTTATAATAGTAACCCAAATATATTCACCCAACTTGTGTTGTAGAATATATATGTACTAAGCCTTAATTCATATTGATACACAGGAAATACACATAACCCTTTATATTGGTTTTAAAACAAGGGGAAGCACTTTTGTTCTTCAGGAAGAATTCCTAACCCCTTCCCTAGCCATACATGATGTGTCAGGAAGCTCCATCCTTGCATGAAAAATTCCAAGGAATTCCCATAACTTACAAATATATGCAAGAGTCCTGGTAAGGACTCTTGGATAGTGACTAAAAAGTGACAACCACAAGTCAAACTTGAGCTGTTTTAATTAGATAATTTACACATAAATTCTCTAGTTAGCCTATTTTATTTGGTTATTCTAGCACCAAGGTTTTTGCTCGTTTTAGGTGGTTTTTTTTGTTTGATGCAGTACTGGGAATTGAACCCAAGGGTCTCACACATGCTAGGCAAGCACTCTACCACTGAACTACATTACTAGCCCTATTTGGTTACCTGAAAGTCCAAATTAACATAACCACCGTTACTTCACATATAACTACTGCCATTAAAAAAACATACTTTCTTGAGGAGTTATACCTTGGGGCTCATTTGCATTCACGTGCCACATGTCTATCGTGTTTTATGCTGCAAGTCATATTAAGTATTAAAAACAGTAATTCACATATTTTATTATAAAAGTGTGCTTTATTATAAGGAAAATTTAAATATAACCAACAATACTGAAAATAACATAACTGGCATTTATAGCCTTGGTCAAAGTTCTTTATTAAACAGGCATTTATTTACTGTTCCATGAATAGTTAACAATCAGCTTATGCGACAAAAGAGATAAATGGAAAAAGTGAATAAAGAATACAGAATGATGAGCCAGAAATTTTCTTTTTTTGCTTGTTTAACAGACATGGCTTTTAAAATAAAGTCTTAAATAGAAAACAAGTCATCTTCATATAGCAAGCTCCCTTTCCCTACAAGGTTTTGCAAAAGTGTTAAAACAATATTCTGAAATGTGGCTGATGTTATAAGTTACATACTTTAACTTCTTATATATACATTATCCAATTAAAATTCTTACCATGTTTTCATATACAAGTAGGACCATAAACATCCTATAGTAGGACAATAGCCCCACAATAATTTTACCCATGTAGGTATATATTCTTTTGATACATGTTTCCCAAAATGTGAATACTGGTTAGAGTTAATGTTTTTAGACACTGGATCATGGAACCTAAAAATCATATAAGATTATATTGCTTTGGTTGAATATAATTAGGTTTTATATGTCAGAATAAAAGCATATCAGTGATCAATGAAAATCTGGTAAGTTTATGAGTAGAAATTAACACAAATGGCAAGGCCTGATGTTATATATGGTATGAACAAAAACTCCTCTTTTTTGTTATATGTGGTTTTGCTTACAAATTTTATACCTACTAAGAGAGGTTTTAAGGTAAAAAAAGGCAAACCTCACTGGCTGCCGATCAATACAATTGTGTGATGTCAACCATCACAAGGAAGAACAGAAATGCGTGAAGGCAGATATATGCAAAGGACCATAGCGTGTAGGTCAAGTGAAGAATAAAGAAATGTAATGTGGGCATGTAAATAAGGTTCTCAACATATTTTTGGTATAGGACTAAGGTTTTTCTTTTAAGTATAAGATCTTAGGCTTTTAGAAGATAAAAGTCAGATTTAACAAGTTTAAATAGCTTTTTTTAAAAAAAAAAAACTTTGTGACATCAAAATCAAACTCTTAAAAGTAAAAAATACAGGAAGTTGCAAAATGAAAAAAGGAAACAAAGATACATGTTAAATGAGGGAAAAATGCATTAATGATTACTCATCTTAGACTCTTTTCCCTATTACCTAAATTGCCATTCCTTAAAACCACTGGAATATGTAGGTTACTGACATTATGCCAAAGAAGTCAAAATGTATTTTATTGCAAAAATATATAGTTTTAAAATTGCATATGATGTTTTATACCATTTCACCAATAGGCCAAGGCCAACACATAACTTATCAAGCCAAAAAGAATTTATGAAAATGATTAAATTTTACTATATAATGAATTATAAAAAGAATGTGATGCCATGCTGGTTGCATGATTCATTGCCAAGTTCTCTCTTACATGGGCATAGTCACTAACTTGATATCAATCTGAATAAATCAAACACATTGACTATGATAGTATCTTTTAATTATCTTCTCAAACATGGATACTTTCAATATATTACAATCATTATAATAAAACTTTAAGTCAAATAATTTTGAGGAGTAGAAAGTCATTTTATCAATGTTGTTTTAATGAACTACTAATTAGAAAGTGATGTTAAAGCCTATTGACTATTAAATCACTACTATTTACCAATACATTGTAAATGTAAAAAAAGGAAAAACCTGAAATCACAGAAAATGCTTGGCATCTACACAAACACATTCTCAGTGGACTAACCACTACTGTGTAATTTTGTCACTATAGGTCTTCTTGCTTCATACTTTGCTTCATGCAGTGGGTTCAACAATATCCATGTTTGTTCCAAACAGGGCAACTAATTGTTCTTCATAGGTGGCGATGTTCCTTTTCATTATTTCCATGCAAGGTCCCAGAAGCCTTTCAAATGCTTGCACGTCCATGGCTAAGAAAAGAAAAAATGAAAAACAACACTCTTTGCAAAGCTGTGGAATTTCCAAGTCGATATAATATCCATTCCATTATTCTATTCCATTATTTTGCAACTGTGAATAATACATGTGTAAGTTTTAAGCAATACTGTCAAATGAAGAAAAACCATAAAGATTAAAATTCTGTTTCAAAAAGGAAGCAGCCAGGGCCCTCTCAAGCTACACTGTTGGATTCCTCAGCAGATAATATGCAATGCTAGGTTGGTGTGAGGTTTCTGGTCTAGGCCAGGAAAAGAATGAGTGAGTGTCATGGGAGGCCCTGGAATTTTAAAAAATGTTGATGTTGCTACCTTAGTAGGATGAACACCTTCAAAGGTGGCAAAGGAATACTTCCTAGTCTGGTCTAAGGGTTTACAATGCCATGTTGTGAAGAACAAAAGTTACCTAAATTTTTACTCTTATACCATTGTCTGTATAATCCAAAATGGCAGCCAACATAATGCTTTTGTTTACTTCTATAAATATATCCTATATCACTTTTCTTGCCCGTCTCATGTACTTTAGAGCTGAATTTACAATACACAGATGAAAAATATCATACTTTCCATCACAGAAATACAAATTAAAGTGTCTTTGCCTTTCAAATTTGAAAAAGTAAAAAAGGCAGAGTTTATAAGAATGGGGTGAATGCAATGCTAGTAGCATATAAATTAGTAAAACTAAAAGTGATCTATATCAAGCCATTATTTAAAGAACACTTCTGAGAATAATTTCTTAGGAAAATTTCTAGATATGCAAAAGCCATCTATGTACACACATATACACAAAAACTTAGAGCTAAAACCCATAAAATATTTACCAGTAAGGAGTGACTGAATGATTTATCATGTATATATTTACTTAAACTGAATGCTAAGATTTGATGTAATGATAAAATTCCCAAGCTATAATGGATGAACAAAGCATTTTACAAAATTGTTTTTAAACAGAAACCCCATGCAAATAAAAAGACAAAAAAGAATTATAATAATAGAAATCACTGAGTGGTGATGGTATAGTGAGTGATTCAGTGATTATTAGTTTTCCCTGCATTTCTGATAATACTCAGATTTTTTAAAATAAATAATTAAAAGAATTTCACTCATATCACCTTTATTCTTACTAAGAGCTCTACTCTGCAAAATTGCCTGTGTCTACTTGTCTTCTCTTTCATCCAATATATTACCTGATTAATATACTTATTTAAAGCTTTTTAAAAAGTTCCTCTCTAAGAATTTAATTCTGTAGAGCCCTGCAATTCTTAAAAACACAGAAACTAACTTTATCCTATTGAACTGTGGATAAGAGCACAGAGAGGCTAATTACTGTGGAATCAGTTTTCTAAAGTGCCATCTTTGTTGCTGCTTCCTGAATTATATTTTCCTATTACAATGGTAATTGATTTCTCAAATATAAAACCTCAGATACATAACAAACATCTTCCAGCTGAGGATGGCATTTCTGCCAAGATCCTCTGATAGAAGCAAGGAACAAACAGCTGAACAACAGAATGTTGATACACTTTGATAAACCTAAACTCTGGCATCCCTGTGCTTCCATGAGTATGTGTTTTCACAGATATTCCAACTTACCTTGCAGAGCCTAATAATGAACTTTACAGAATTATTATTTTAGCTTTTTCTCCTAAGGAACATAGCATATGTTATTTGATGGGTTAGATGTAAAATTTGGCACTTGCAAGTTTTTCTTTCAATGATTAAAATAATGTTTTTTCATACATACACAAAAGAACAAAATATATTTGCATGTGAAAACTTTCAAAGAAAAAAAATGGCTTCCATAAATTGATTTTACAATGCAGTGCTAACTCTTACATTCTGTGGGGACCTCACAACATTTTTGAACCAAATGATTTATACAACATGAACACATAAAATGCAGACATAATTTCAATGCTCACTATTGTGATTCCTACCTAAGCATTTGACAGTCCCAATGGCGTGTGCAGAAGCTGCTCGAGGTTTGTTAGTTACCAGGGCGAGCTCTCCAAAGTACTGCCCCCGAGAACATCGAGCGATCTCTACTGCACCATTCTCTTCCACTTCTGATTTACCCTGACAAGGAATTAAAAATATTAACTTTTGCTCAGCTCATGAAAATAAAACTTAAACTCAGGCTCAGTATCAGAAAGAAAATATGTTCCTTGCTAATATGTGAATTTTTAGGACAGAATATTTACCTTTCTTTTCATAGTAATTTTCACTTCTCCAGATTCTACAATGAAAAAGGAATCAGCCAAATCTCCCTATCAGAATAAAACAAAAAGAGGATGAAAATGCAAATTTGACAATTCTGAAATCATACCCTTGGAATCAATCCAATCCCAGTATATAGATATTTGCCTAAAAAGTGAAACTCCCCAGGAACAGGCCATTTCATTTTCTAAATCAAGAGGTTATAATTGATAATTATACAGTAACAGTTTCCTTTGTAAAGCTATTTGAAATAACATATGCTCTACCATAGCATTTCTGCTAACAGCTAAGAAAATATGGCAAATAACAGGTAAGAATCTCCTCCAAATTTCAGCCTGGATAACAGCATAAGAGTTAGAAATGGCAACACTGCTGCATGTCCCAACTGCAGCATCCCCTCACTCTACAGGAATATGTCAGCCCATCTTGTGATCATTGGGAAGTGCTAGGATGTGCAGCGTGTCCTCCTATTTCTCCTGGCAGAAATAAAGCAGATAGTACCCAAAGCACCCAGGTACATTAGGAAGCAGTGTTGAGAGCCACAGTTTAGTAGGAATGACGCCTGGCATTTTGCTAGAGGGAATGGTTGAAAGGTGACCCTGCTCCCAGGAATAGGGCAACCGGGGATTAGGGCGGATCCTGCTGGGAATAGGGGGGCTCTGGGATTAGAGCGGATCCTGCTGCCTCCAGAGCCCACTACTTTGGAGTTCCCGAGGGATTCCAGGAGAATTGGCGAGTGGAGCCTGGTGGAGGGAGTGTGTTCCCGGGAAGAGTGTGTAGAGTGCAGGAGAGAGTTTGGGAATAAAGAGTTGCTGTTTGAACCTACAAGGCTTTGTGGCGGCTTGGTTATTTGTGCCCAGCCAGACTGCGGCAGAGCAGTCCCTATGGCTTTTGTGTTTTTACAGCAGTTAAGGACTATGCTGAGATGCCAGTCTACTGACATTGAGGTTTTGAAAAGACTACTAAAATTCTAAAAAGTGATGCTGTTTCTCACTACATACATGTTTTTTCTTGTTTCTGTTTCTGAATCAACTGAGTCTTAATTTCTAATGACAATTTCTGAGTAAAACAGTACACTATGTAAGATAATAACATTTTATTTTTTACTTAGCTTTTCAAAGTGACCCTAGGGAAACAGGTATTTAAAATAAAATGTTGAATCTATATTTCTATAATGTAGTACATATATAATACATATATATATATATATATATGTCTATAAATACTTACGTAGTTATTTAAACTCTAAATATAGCATATCTCCCGCCCCCCTTGTTTTGTGCTTGGGATTGAATTCAAGACCTTGTGCATGCTAAGCACACACTCTACCTGAGCTACACCCTAATTTTTAAGTGTTATGAATAACAGGTCTCTTGATTGCTGTGTAAATATGCTCCAAATGTATGTGGTGAAACTGATGAAATCTGAATAAACTCTGGATTATGCCAATGGCAATTTCCTGTTTTGATATTGTACAATAATGATGCAAGATGCATTGGGAAAAAATAGGTGAAGAGTACATGGGACCTCTCAGTGCTATTTTTCTAACTTCTTGTGAATATTTCAAAATAAACTAAAAAAGCAGCATGTAAGGTGCTGGCTCAGTGGTAGAATTTGTGCTTAGCATGCACAAATTCAATCCCTATCACCAAAAAATATATACAAATAAATAAAATAAAAATAAGCATTTTAAAAATGCCCTATATTTTAATTACCAATTTACATAGCTGAAACTTAGTCTTGTTCTCCAATTTGACTCCACTTCTTCCCAATCCTTAACTGTGTAATCTGCATGGTGTATGTATACCCACACACAGATTTTGAGAGATTCACTTATTTGCCTTATAAACAATGATTTTCTTCCTCAGTCTCGAACCTAGAACCTTGTTTCACATTTAAAGGAAAAGACAATAATTCAGATAAAGAGCACAGTGCTGTATAGTGCAATGAATCAAAAAGGCCACTTAAATCATTTGCTCAATGCTTCAGAAATGTAAGAAATAAGGCAACACTGTAAGTATGTTTTACGTATGAACTTAAACTGTCTTCATAAATCCTCCTTTCTAGTAGCCCTAGCAAACTGAAGTACACAATGCTATTGGTTCCAACCAGGATCTTAGAAAAGCACTGGGGGTTAAAGAACGTGTTTATTTAAACATTTAGTGCTTGGAAGCCAGTACAGATTATGGTGCAATGTGTCCCCTTCTTGCAATGTGTCCCCTTCTTGGTGACTGTTATCTAAAAGCAGCTGCAGGAGGTTTCATCATGAACGGATCGTGTAAAACGCCACAATATCTCCCAAAGGACTTCTGGGTTCTTACTAATCTCAGGAAGCACTCACCTTTTCCTCTTATAAATTAAATCTTATTCCCTATATGCATGTGAAATTTCATGTCACATAAAACTTCAGAAAGCCATTTGACAGTTTAATACGTATTCATTAAAGTATTCAAGATGGTGGGCTAGAGGAAAGCTGCATTCCTAGTTGCTCTGAAGCTTGGGTTTCAAGCGGCAGGAGTATTGCTTCTCAGTGAGTGAGTGAACAACAATGGACAGTCAGAGTGTCTTAGAGACTTAGAAATTTGAGTACCTTTGGACTGGGGCTGGGGCTCAGTGGCAGAGTACTTGCCTTGCATGTGTAAGACCCTGGGTTCAATCCTCAGCACCACATAACAATAAATAAATAAATAAAGTCATTGTGTCAAACTATAAATAAATAAGAATTTGAGTGACTTAAAGAAGAAAGACTCTACTAGAGCCAAACTAGCTGTGTCAGTGTCAGTGTTGGTTCAGCACAGAAGGAGGAGTAACACAGAAACCCAATGGATAGCTTTAGGACGGAAAAACCTGACATGAGAAAAGCAGCCTGCCCTTAGCTGATCTAGGGGCTGCACTGTACTCTGGTGCTTGGAAAGTGCCCCATGTGCCAAGAGCTGAAGGGGGAGCCATCTTGATGTGGCCACGCTGAGGCTGCTGCTGCTGCAGGAGCTGGGAGATCTGGACAAGTTGACTACACTGTCCTGGCAAGCACCTTCCCCATAGCCTAGGGTTTGCCTATCAAATTGGAAGCAAAACAGACAAAGAGATTGTTTTACCCTGGGGGGCTTTTACCCAACTCCTTCCCCCTTTTGAGTCTGTAGGCTCATGTGAACCACTGAAGCAGTCAGGAATCTGAACAGGTAGTGTGAATACACTCAGGGACTACGCCTAGGAAGCCCAGAAAGACTGGGTGAACAACAGAGGGGGTGAAGGTCTGACTCCCCAAGTCCATGAGTAGAATCCTTGAGAGGCTCACTAGATCCAGACTCCCAGCTGTGATCAGCAACTGCCAGGCCCCATGGGTGTGTTGATCTAATTTCTCCAGATTAGTCACCACCCAACAAAGCTCCTGAGTCCCAATTAGAACTAAGCTAAACCCCACCTGCAGGAACTCCACTCACAGAACTCTGCAGTGGCCCCACCCTGGGAGTACTCCTATCTGGTCCATACAGAAAAATCTCCCAGCTGACAGTATTTCCTATCCCATCCTACCTCAATTCTAGGGAGAAGAGAAACAGAATTATTTGAGCCAGCTTCAGTCTTAAGCAAATCCAAGTGGCAGCTTGCTGAGCAACACAAATCGAAGGATTTAACAACCCCCAGCCCTTGTTCTCACTGGCAGAACACAGCCCAAGATAGACAGTATCCATTTGTTCTTAGTTGATTACTTTGACCTCATCAGTGGAAATAATAATTAAGTTTTCACTGAGAATCTTTTTTTGTTTTGTTTTTGTGTTTGCTGTGTTGATTGGTTCATGGATACATATACATATTTTTACTTTTTTGTTCACTTTTAGCATTTAAAAATTTTTTAAATTTTATTTTTTAAATTTTCCGTTGCTTTGTCTTTTGAGGTTTATGTTTTTTGATTAGTATATTTGGGTTTGGTTTTGTATTGTTTTTCATTTGTGTATTCCTTGTTTCTCTTTTCTGCTAACAGCCAAATTCTATTACTATTTTTCATTCTCCCTTTATTATTTCTATTTTTCTCCTCCTCATAACAATCACATGCTACATCTCTTCTGCATTAATTTTTTGAAATTATGAGCTCTTTTCTATCCCTATCACATCTTCTTTTATCTAAATTAATTGTATTTTTACCTTTTTTTGGTACTAGGGATTGAACTCAGGGGCACTCAACCACTGAGTCACATCCCCAGCCCTATTTTGTATTGTATTTACAGACAGGGTCTCACTAAGTTGCTTAGAGCCTCTCTTTCGCTGAGGCTAGCTTTGAACTCGAGATCTTCCTGTCTCTACCTCCCAAGCTGCTGGTATTATAGACATATTTTTTACCACCTTTAAGCACTAATTGGCTTATAGAACTCTTGCCCCAGTTATTAATGCTGTTTCAGTTATTGTGTATAACATATTTGACACCCGTTGTTTAATAGCAAACATAGTTCAGGGTTACTTTCTATTTTTGCTGTTGGCAATTGCTGACCCTACCATTTCTGTTTTTTGTAGCAATTAACATTGTAGTTGTCATAGAAGGAACCAAGTATTTAGCTTAATGCTGTATATTCTTTGTATTGGTTGTTGCTATTGTTTGAATTCCTCCTTTCTCCGAGGTGCTGGGAACCTTTAGGGGCACTACAGGATCATAGGACAGAAACTCTGCTGTTAAACTAAACTTAACCAAAAGACACCACACCTTGCTCCACGCACAAATTAATGACACTCGATCTTCAGCTATACTTTAATACAAAGAATAGAAGAGACAAAAAGCCAGACTCACAACCAGGCCCCAAGTAGAAGAAAACTGAGAGACATCCATTACTATAGCAAAACCAGAAAGAAATAACACAAATGATGTGGACACCTATAAGGGGAGTCTTAATCTAGATCACTCTAGGACACTTTAGCAAACGAAGACTTGTGCCCTAAAAAGGTCTATACATAATAATGGAAGAGAAATCCCTTCCAAAAGATGCAAAAGAGGTTTAAAACCCAACAAATGAATACAAGAAATATGAAAAATCAAGTTAACAGTACCTCCTAAAGTTCGTAATTCACCAGCAAACAACCCCCAAAATATTGAACGAAGGAAATATCAGACAAGGATTTCAAAAAAAATCATTATAAAAATATTCAATGAATTCCAAGAAAATGTAGGAAAAAACAACTGAATGAATTAAAGAAGTCAGTATAGAATATAAAGAAATTCAGTAAAGAGTTAGAAATGTAGAAAAAGAACCAAACAGAAATCTTGGAAATGAAAAACACAATAAATCAAATAAAATATTCACTTGAAAGTCTAATAGAATAGGCCATGCTGAAGACAGGATCTCAGCGCTGTAAGACAAAGTGGCCAGCCTTACTCATTCAGACAGTATTAAAGAAAAAGAAAATTAACCATAATCAGAATACAAAAACTCTGGGACAACATGAAGAGACCAAATTTAAGAGTCATTGGATTTGAAGAGGGATGTGAAATATGACCTCATGGAATGGATAAACTCTTCAGGGAAATAAGAGAAAATTTTCCAAACCTTCAGAAGGAGATGGACATCCAGATACAGGAGGCATTCAGAACCCCAAGTAGACAAGATCAAAAAAGAACCTCTCCACAACACTTTATAATTAAAATGCCTAACATACAGAACAAGGATATAATTTTAAAAGCCTCAAGAGAAAAACATCAAGTCACATTTAGAGGCAAGCCAATTAGAATTACTTCTGATTTCTCAGCACAAACTCTACAAGCCAGGAGGGCTTAGAATAATGTGTTCAAAGTCCTGAAAGAAAATAACTGTTAACTAAGACTACTATATCCAGCCAAATTATCATTCAAAATTGAATATGAAATAAAAACCTTCCAAGATAAGCATAAACTAAAAGAATTCATGACTACTAAACAGATAATAAAGAAAGAAATACTGCACACAGAAGATATTTAAAAACTTCAAAGCTCACAAAAGAACAAATTTCATTTGAAGAATAGCTAAGTAAATGAGAAACAGGACCAAATTAAAGATTATCAATATTCAAAATGGCAGGAATTAATAAACATCTCTCTATGGTAACATTGAATGTAAATGCTTTCAACTCTCCAACTAAAAGACTTAGGCTGGCAAAGTGAATTAAAAAGACCAACATATATGTTATTTGCAAGTAACAGGCAAAGAAAACCACAGGCTAAAAGTGCAAAGATGGAAATTGATATACCATGCAAATGGAACCTGAAAATACGCAGGAGTAGCCACTCTTACATCAGACAAAGAAGATTTCACACCAAAATTAATTAGAAGAGACAAAGTAGGTCACTTCATATCAGTAAAGGGAACAATCCAACAATAAGATATAATAGTAATAAACATTTATGCCCCAAACATGGGTGCAATTATTTGCATAAAAGAGACAGTACTCAAATTGAAGCTCCAGATAGACCTCAGTACAATAATTCTGGATGATTTCAACACACTTCTGTCACCATTAGATGGGTCATTCAGACATAAACTCAGTAAAAACTCTTTAGACATGAACTTAGATAAGTCAAATGGACATCTATAGACTATTTCATCCAACAAGAGCTGAAAACACTTTCTACTCAGCAGGTCAGGGAACCTTCTCCAAAATACATAATATTTTAGGCCACAAAGCAACTTTTAGCAAATACAAAAAAACTGCATCTTATTGGATCATAATGGAATGAAATTAGATATGAGCACAACCAAACCCTATAGAAACTATATAAACACATAGAGATTGAATACTCTTTTAAAAGATGAACGGGTGATAGGAGAAATTTAAAAATGTTTAGGCTCAAATAAGATACAAAATAGTGATACAATAGATCAGAACCTCTGGGACACTATGAAGATAATTCTAAAAATCAACAGCTTTCATATATGCCAACAATAAATCTGCTGAGAAATAAAGAAGGAAAACAATTCCATTCACAAAAGTCTCAATAAAAATAAAATACCTATAAATAAGAATGCAAATAATAATAAATGCTAGAGAGAATATGGAGAAAAAGGAACATTTTTATACTGTGGTATACCTTGAAATTGGTATTTCCACTATGAAAATCAGTACAGAGATTCCTGAAAAGACTAGGCATGGAACCACCAAATGACCCAGCTATACCACTCCTCTGTATTTATCCTGGAGAATTAAAGTCATAGTACAATGATACATGCATACCCATGTTTATAGCAGCATAATTCACATAGCCAAACTATGGAATCAGCCTAAGTGTCACATCAACAGATGAAAGGATAAAGAAAATGAGGTATATACACACAATGGAGTTTTATTCAGCCATATATAAAAATAAAATTATGGTATTTGCAAGAAAATGGATGGAACTAGGGCCCATCATGTGAAGTGAAATAAGTCAAACTCAGAAGGTTAAGGGTCATATGTTTTCTTTCATATGTAGAAGCTAGAGAGGGAAAAGGAAAACAAAGGTAGGGATGGATTTCCTAAAAATCAAAGGGAGATTGATAGAGGAAAAGGAACCAAGGGGTGGGGGGTGAGGAGTGGGGGGTGACTAGTGCTGGGGAGTATTGGCCAAATTATATTGTTATAGTGTGTACATGTACAAATAATTAACAATAAATTCCATGAGTATGTACAATTATTAAAAAATGTGGAAAAAATAAAGAAAAAAAGGAGTTAATTATATAAACAAGATATTCAAATAGATTAATGGCTGTAGATTAAACCAATTTTTTAAAAAATATATTTTTTAGTTATAGATGACACAGTACCTTTATTTGTTTATTTTTATGTGGTGCTAGGGATCAAACCCAGTGCCTCACGAATGCTAGGCAAGTGCTCTACCCCTGAGCCACAACCCCTGCCCTAATTAAACCACTTTTAACAGGTCATTTAATATGAATAATATTCATGTAATATAATATAAAATAATATTCATTTGCATACATTACTGCTTATTAATTTTAGTGACAAAGTTTGTCAAGATTTATAAATGTATAAAAAACCTTTTGGAATATAACCCCAAAGTGAATTACACTTAAAAAATACATACCTGAGCAATGATTTGTTCACCATCATTATACACTTTGGTGCCTATCACATCTACCACTTTCAGGCGTTCAGAAACCTATAAAGAAAAAAAGATAGTTACTAAGAAGAAAAAGACTTAATTGGGTAATCTGACCTATTTTACATCTTAAAAAGTAGCATCCTAGAGGCTAAGTGAGCAGTGTGTAGATTATATGATTACATGTTCATTATATTAGCTGGTAGCATTTAAAAATAAATTTTGTATTTCTAGCTTCTCTTGAGAAATCAGAAGACTCAGGAACTCTCAGCCCATATTTTCGTATGGCAGTAATAAAACTATGATGGAATAGCAGCTGTTACTTTAGATGGAGTACATGTTCTCTCTAGCTTGTCACCATCCCTTCCCTTTTTGTTACTTGCCTAGCTCGGAAGGCACTGGATTTGCATCCCTTCTACTTCTATTTAAGGAGATATGCTGCTGGAGAAGATCAGCTGTCTAACATGCATTATGAAAGGTGGCCAAGATTCTACCAGGAACAAACCAGCCATCTAACTTTAGAAAGGAAAAGCACTATTATGTTGATATTTGCCATTTTATAAGACTCTGTGGGTACATACATGTTCCCCTCTTTCATTAATCTCAAACTATTTCAAATATGAGAGTAGGATATCTAGAAAAATACTGAGCTTAGCAAAGAAGTATGTAAAGTAAACTCTCATGGTTTCTGGAAAATTTTTACCATTCAAGATAAAAACAGCTGATGAAGGAGATGAGGGAATGAGCCGTGGGGCTGTGCAAAAGGACATCCAGACAGATAGCAGGTGCACAGGACCTGAAGCCAGGGAGAGTCAGCATGCTAGAGGAACAGTGCGAAGCTGTATGTCTAGGTAGGACAAGGAGCATGGAGCAGTAAGAAATGGAGCCAGGGATACATGGCTGGTCCACAGGGTCTTAGAGGCCTATGAGAAGGGTCTTAAACAGACGTCTGTTAGGATCTAGGTTTTAAAAAGATTATGCTGGCAGCTGATATAAACCAGGCAAACAGTGATGATGAATCAGACAGAAGGTAATAATGGTGAAGTTGGTGGGAAACAGATGCTGGATAAATTCTGAAGATAGGGCTGATGGGGTTACTGACTGGACATGGGTGGGGAAAACGGCTGAGTTTACTGGAAGGATGTTATTGCCATTGATGAAGATAAGGAACAGAAAGGAGGAGATCTGGGACACATTAGGTTTGAGATGATAAACAGTTGGCAATAATGTCAATTTTAGGAGGTATCAGCCTAAAGACAATATTTAAAGCCATGGAATTTGACATGTGCACCAAGCCTAAATACAGAAGAGACCAAAGACAGAGGCCTGGAAAGTTAATTGTAAAAAGGAAGGAGAAAAGAAAGAAACAGCAAAGGTGACTGATAGAGAGAAACTAATAGGGAGAAGAGATAACTCTTCCCTATAAGGTAAAACTAGTGGCTCTTACTGGTATTTATATGATTATTTTAAGTCTGTTCTTAAAGAATACATATAAATATGCTACAGGAGCCTGTTACTCATGACTAACAAAACAAATGCAGTTATAGGTGGTAAAAGGATGAGTTATAAAAACTCAACAGTCTTTTTTTTCTTTACTCAAAGAAATGTTTGTGTAGAACTAATTATTCCTAATAAAATTAACTTTTAAAGCAGAATAAAAGCATAAATACACTCACCTCCAAAGATTTAAGGAATGGCAGTGACTCAATAAAGCTTTCATACATTTTTCTCTTTTTGGCATTGTTTTTCACAATTATTCTCCTGAAGGTTACCCTGTCCTGAAGACAGAATATCAAATACAAAGAAGTTAAAAATGTAGATTTTTTGGAGGGTGGTATAGTACTGGGGACTGAACCCAGGGATATTCTATCACTGAGTTACATGCCCAGCCCTTTTTCATTTTAAGATAGGCACTTGATAAATTGCTGAAGGTCTCACTAAATTGTTGAGGCTGGCCTCAAATCTGCAATCTTCCTGCCTCAATCTCTGGAATCATAGGATTACAGGCATATGCCACCATGTCTGACTTAAAATGTAGATTTTATGGAGGAAAAAAAAACTGAATAAATAGGTTTTTTTCCCGTACTGGAAATTGAACCCAGGGTGCTTAATTAAGCTACATCTTAGCCCTTTTTATATTTTATTTAGATTACATATATTATTGGGATTACAGATATACATCAGCGTGCACAGCTGAATAAATAGTTCTATTCCCCATATAGAGTAAACAGTAATTGAGGATTTCAAAATAAAAGACTAACAACATCATTTTTACTTTGATTTAACTCATTTCATATTTTTATTTCTTCAGGCACAAAATTAATGTAGAACCATATAAAATATCTTCATTTTTTTTTTGAAGGTTTACTTTTGTTCCTCCATCTAACATGTTGTGCTATACACCACAAGGTGGCACTATGAAACTATCTTAAAAACATATACTAGCATGTTCTTGTCCTGTGGATGGCAACCTTAGAGGACTGCAAAATCAGGACATGACAAGAATTTTTATTAAAAAAAAAAAAATAAAGTAGGACAGAAAATCGTGGAGTACATTCTTTGTAGTAAAGTATTTTTTTGTTAATTATCTCAATCATACAGACACAAATATCCTGGTTTTGATATTCCCATTGTAGACTAAAGTAAAAACCATATGGAAAACAATAGAACAAAATTTTAATCATAAAGAAATTACAAACTCAGAGATTTTGAAAAGTTATATACTCTAGGTTAATTTTCACATCCACATTATGATGGAGTTTCTTTAAATGTAAAGGCTCAGAGAAACTAAATTTTCTTGAATAAGATCTAATTCTAGAGCTTATCATTTTTATCTAATTCTTATGGCCTAAAATCCTATCATTTATATTTATACTACATGATCTCAAGCATTTTAGTAAAATTAAAACTGAAATAGATGTATTAAGGCTGAATTTAAATGTTCTAGTGTGACAGAGAAAAATTCTAGTATGTATTGAAAGTCTTTAGGTGTGATGGACTGAAATGTTTGTGTGCCCAAAATTCATAACCCCCATTGCCCAATCAAAGTTCCTCTGTTTTTCTCATGCCTCTTGTTTTATGTTTTATAGGTTCTTTTTAGTTATACATGACAATAGAATTCATGTTGACATAATTATAAAACCACAGAATATAATTTCTTCTAATTCAGTCCCCAGTACTTCCCCTTCCTTCCTCCCACCCTGTTGCCTTCCCTCTATTTACTCTATTGATCTTTCTGCTATTTACTTAGGTGTTTTTTTTTTTTAATTACTACTCTATGGATGTACGATGGTGAGATTCACTGTGGTATATTCACATATGAAAATAGGAAATTTAAGTCAGTTTTATTCTACTGTATTTCCCTATCCCATCTCTCCTCCCTTCCCTTCATTCCCCTTTGTCTGCTCCACTGATTTTTCTTCTATCACCCACACCACACCTCCAGCTTATTTTGGATTAGTTTCCGCTTATCAGATAAAACATTGTACCTTTGACTTTTTAGGACTGGCTTACTTCACTCAGTATGTAGTCTCCAGCTCGATTCATTTACCAGCAAATGCCTTAAGGTCATTCTTCTTTAAGGTTGAGTAATACTCCATCGTATATGTATACCACATTTTCTTTACCTATTAATCTGTTCAAGGGCACCTAGGTTGGCTCCATAGCTTGGCTATTGTAAACTGTGTTGCTGTAAACATTGATGAGGCTGTGTTACTATAGTATACTGATTTTAATCTTTTGGGTATATACCAAGGAGTGAGATAGCTGACTCATATGGTGGTTCCATTCCTAGTTTTTGGAAAAACCTCTCTACTGCTTTCCAGAGTGGTTGCACCAGTTTGCAGTCCCACCAACAAGATATCAGTGTACCCTTTTCCCCCACATCCTCACTAACATTTATTGTTATTTGTATTCTTGATAACTGCCATTCTGACTAGAGTGAGATGAACTCTCATCTCAGTGTTGTTTTAAGTTGCATTTCTCTAATTGCTAAAGATGTTGAACATTTTTTCATATATTTGTTGGGTCAAGAGGATTTTTAAAAATTACCCTAGGTAATTCTGAAGTGTAGCCAGATGAGAAGCACATGTACAAGTATTTTTGCTCTACACAGCTACTCTTTTTTAAAAAAATATTTTTTTAGTTGTTCATGGACCCTTCTTTTACTTATTTATATGCAGTGCTAAGTAAGAATTGAACTCAGTGCCTCACGCACACTAGACAAGTGCTCTACCACTGAGCTACAATCCTAGCCTTATTTATATAGCTGCTTTTAAATAAAAGGTATATCCATCAATGGATCCCAAGAGAATCAATTTCTACTGTTTTTTTTTTTTTTTGTGTGTGTGTGTGGGGGGGGTTTGTTTGTTTGTTTTTAGACTAGAGCACTTACCAATCACCTAGAGAACTTACTCAAATAGTTTGCTGGGCCCCATCTCCAGAGATGAAATTCAAAATCAATAGGTGGGGCCCTCGAATGTACATTTCTAACAAGTTCCAGACAACACAGATGCCACCATCCAGGGAGCACACTTTGAGAACACTAATTTATTGGATTATATACCTCAGAGAGCAATCTGAGAAAAAGCACTGGAGACTGTGTGCCTGGTTGTTTTTTTAAGACTGGATAAGAGAGGAGCATTTCGAGTGAGTGTCTTTCCTGTCCCAGGGCCAGCAGATCCCAAGTTCCTGATTCAACGGGAGGAGTGGGGAAAAGGACATGAAATTCTGATTTAGCACTTAGTCCCAGTGCCCAACAGTTCAGCATCCAGCTTAATAAACTGCTTAAAAAAAATTCCCTAGTGACTAATGATTTCAAATAAATCTACCTATTAGAATTAACACACAATGTAACTACTCTTACAAACAGTAATTTTCAGGTCAAACAACTGTTTTACTCACCAAACCCCACAGAGCACCAGGAGAGGTAGCAGTGATTGTAGCTGCTCTGGGTGTATTGTACATTAAGGCCAGTTCGCCGAAACTCCCACGATTATCGTAGTTACCAACACATCTTCCCACTCCATCGCATTTTACATAAATATCAAATGTTCCTCTGTTGGACATATGTAAATTAGAGATAAAAATAATTCAAGGAAAATCTCATTACAGTAAGACATTATTTCAGAGAAGAACCCTGTGCAATAAAACTTTACTTCTGTCCTGTCTAGCCCCTCTGGAGACAAATAAAAAAGGGGGATCAATATGTTGATCAATACATTATAAAGAGACCATCACTAGACAAGGGTAGGGGCCACATATGTGCCTCCTGGGAAAAATGGGACTAACCAATAAAAATTTAAGAGAATAAATGATAATAATATAAGATTACAACCATATAGTAGATGCCTAGAAAATCATCTACAGGAACAAATACCAAGTTGACTATTACTCATCTCAGACCATAGAACGGTGAAGGACTTCCAGGATGACCCAATGAACATGTATTACTTTTGTCATCAGAAGAAAATGACTATTAAAAAAATACATCTATAGTAATTTAGTTATCCACTACTCTATAGAACTTATAGTAGAGGCCTTTACAATCTATAGCAGGGGTCAGTCCACAGACTGGCTGCCTGCTTTTGTTAATAGTACTATTGAACATAAATATATTTGTTCCTTTATGCTTGATTTATGGCTGATTTGACTACAACAGCAGATCTGAACAGTTACAAAGACCATAGTAGCCCTCAAAGCCTCAAAAATTTGCTCTCTGGCCCCTCTACACAATATGTCCCTTTATTTCAGATCAACCCCTGCCCAAGCTAAAAAGCAATAAAAATCATAGTAAATGTCTGACCCTGGACTTTTACATTATTTTTCCATTCCTTTTTTCTCTGGTGATGGCGGGTTACTGGGGATTGAACCCAGGAATGCTTTACCACTGAGCTATATCCCCAGCTCTTTTTACTTTTTATTTTAAGACAGGATCTCATTAAGTTGCTGAGGTTAGCCCCAAACTTGCAATCCTCCTACCTCAACCTCCTAACTCACTGGGATTACAGGCATGTACCACCATGGGACCATACTACAAATTATCCAGGCCCAGTACTATATAAACTATCTGTCATATGGGTGACTGTCATTACATGTACTGTACTTTATCAGAGAGAATGTGATTTCAAGACTTGCTCAAGCACTTGTGAGGACACACAAGAGAAATACTTTGGCTTTATTTTGTTGTTTATTTTGGTAGAGATTTATATGTGTGTGTGTGTGTGTGTGTGTATGCTTTTAATATCAGAAAAGGATTATGAATGATAAAGAAATATAAGATATTAATGTAGGAATAATAAGGAAGAAAGCAAGTGATGTTTAATATATTTCATGGATAGAATGACGATTTTAAGGATACTTTCTAGAATTTATTCTATGGAAAATTATTTTCCAAGTACAGATCAAACTCTTCTACTTATTTTATTTATGCTTTTCCACTGAAACTGTTTTCTACATTTACCACTTTGAATAGGATAAAACGTACAATGTGCTAATGAGAAGTAAAACAAGCTACCAATTCAGTTGAAATCACATCAGTCTAATGTCTGTTTAAAAAAAAAAAACTATGGGTTGCTTTTCACGTGGTCTCCTTCCTGAGAGTCCAGGAGAGAGGGCTATGGGGTTGGCTCCACATTGACCATCTGGGCAACCTAACCCTATCACTTCCATGGGCCTGAATGTTTCATCTCTCAATGGATGATTAGGATCTAATTGAAGAAAGAGCATACTATTGTCAAATATAAGACAGTTTTATAGTAAAATATATTCATTAAAAAAAGACTAATATCATCATGTTTGAGTTCCCATATTCCCCTAAATTAAACACAGTTGAATGAATTTTTAAGCTACTCATTGATAAAAGCTGGTAATAATAACAGAAATCATGACTTTGATTTACATATGGGATAACTGGTTTTGTTCTATTCCAAAATCCTGGCTACTGTTCTGGCAATAAGTCACCCAGGCATCAGGTATAAGGGAATGGAGAAATGCATGGAAACCTTGATTCAAACAACACGCACAATTCATGTATAAAAGACGCCACCCACAGAGCCCAGGTTGGGAAATGAGGAGACAGAAGAAAGACAGACTTCTCAGCTGAATATAACTCTACCCAGAGAAGCAGATGTAATCCAACAAATCGGCTGGGAGATGATCTGTGTTCCATGCAAAACTAGAGAGCTTAGGGACACCAACTATCACATGAACACTTTGTCATCACTTTACAAAAGCGTAAGAAATGAGGACTCAGCCCAGACTGCTCCCGTTAAGCTTCCATTCTCATTTGTTTCATGAATAAGGCACACTGTTCTTTGATGAAGTAAAACTCAAGTTTTCTGCATTCGATTTTCAAATGTGTGCACTCTTGTTTTAATAAAACAATTTCTCTAAAGTTTTTTATAGACAAATATAATAAGTCACAAATAATTTCTGGAAGTACACACAAACTTTGCACTATACTGAATAAATATACTGAAGCAACTGGAAGAAAAGACCGGCTTTTAACTTTATGCCCTCAAAATATCTGAATTCTTTCAACCTGAGGATGTTTACTTTTATAGCTAATAAAATAACTTGTAAAAATATTAATTTGTATTTTACTTCTATCTCACTATAATAGTCATCTACTACATACTATTACACACTATCTTCCAAATGCAAGCAAGCAAATGAGGAAGCTCACATTAAAGACTAAGATTTAGGGATTAACCAAATATCATCAGTTCCTCTATAAACCAAGCTTCTTTTCAGGATCCAGTGTGGTTTCAATGCAGGTTCAGGTTTACTATGCCTAATATGTACTAATAACAATAAAGAAGCAATAGCAACTATCATATATTAACTTGTCAGTTGTCATAATAACTGCTGGGATTCTACACAAAAGGTTCTTTAAATTTCAGTAGTGAATTAGATAAAACTTACCTATCAATTACATAAAAGTTGTCACCATCGTCGCCTTGATCAATAACATGCTCCCCTTCTTTGACCAACTTTTCAAACATGGCATCTAATACTTGAGACATCTGCTCCTATTTTTTTAAAAAAATAAGATATAATCTTTATATTTATCAAGAATGTTTTTTTAAGTGACCACAATTACCTTTACATCTGTGAATGATCTCAAAGAAGTAGAAATATCATCATTGCCATTAAGTCTTGTCAGAAAAATGCACTCACTATATAGTTTTCTGTATTGCATACAAATAAGATGATTATACAGTCAGTCTCAGATTCAATTTTGAATAAAGTTAATTATAATTAGTCTATTTCAGAATATTTGCAAGTGTCACCACTTTAAAATAAAAAATAAATCACCATATATGTTGTGAAAATTAAATTTTAGCAACTAAAATGACCAGTTTGGTAAAGAATTCTTTCAAAATGCTTTCAAAGATACCTGTTTTTAAAACTTCCTATTAATCGTCACTAGAATTTATGTCAAAATTACCCAAACATTTGATGAACTTAGATCCTCATCCCAATCCTTTTTTTTCATTTTAGCATCAAAAACAAAATAGAAACAAAACAAATATTCCATTACTACTCTTTATCATTAAGCAACCATATACCTCACCAGGGCACACCTATCAGAAATATCAAACTGTTACTCAACAACTACTTAAACTATATAAAATTTTTATCTGTCTCAAGTGTGATTGACAAGAATTAAAGATAAACTTCAACAAATGAGAATAAACTTGGAGGTGAAAGAAATCCTTCCTCAGAACACATACAGGAACAATTCAGACATCTGAACAGACAGAGCAAATAGATGTGGAGGAGAACATGGTACAATAGTAACAGAAAAGTCAGGAGCCCAGAGGTGTATGTGTTCTACCACTTCTAAGTTCTAAGCTCTTGGCCAAGTCACTCTGTGAGTACAAAAAAGCTGTGTATCACGTACTGCCCAGGTCCAAATCAGTTATTATTACAACCAAATTAAAGAGCCGATACAAGATTAGGGTTGCAAATGAAAAGAGTTTGGAAAAAAAACCATTTTGGATCAAGAGGATAACAAGTCACATGTGATTTCTTCTCCTTTTGAGTCTCCATTCCAATTTTATAGGGGATGTCAAAATTTGAATCTACAACAGTACAGAGTATGGGAAGGGATACTTGATGGGTGAGAATTCCGGTGCAAAGACGGTGAGTTAGATGTGGCAGAGGGAGCTATCCAGAGCAGTAGAGATGGGCTGCAATGTGGAAGGACCAATGTGCCTACCCAACACCCAGAAAGGTCCCAAGTAGGAAAGCCCTGGTTCTATCAAGATGGGACTGAAATACAAAGCTGAAAACAAGTTCAATGGTTAGGGCCCTACAAGGATGGATTTATATCTTCCTTCAAAATCCACCTACTCCGAACACAGAATGCCTAGCAGTCAAGTGTTGACCCAACCCTTCCCAGACAAGAAAACAAATTAAAACTAGAACAGATGATGTGAACACTGGTGCCCTAGCACCAACGTCCTCACTTGCTGGGATTGAGGAGTTCCTAGTGTAACAGAGGGCTCCACAGGAGCGCAGCCCGCACAGCATACTGGCTGACAGGCCTGCCCTGCTTACCAGAGCTCTAGTCCCCTCTCTGTTGCCCCTCTGGCAGCCTACAAGACTAACAAACAGCAAAAGAGCACCACATGGAGTGGCTATTTCAAGAATAGTAGAGAGCATTTAGAAAGTTCTGCTTGTATATCTAGATATTATATCAGTGAGATTTTTTTTTAAAGGTATTTAGAAAAAGAGCAAAAAGCGTAGCTTGGAAATGTAAAACATGATTGCCAATCCCCCCCCCCATATTAGACTTTTTTGAGCAGTTTTAGGTTCACAGGCACAATGAACAGATATCCCATACATATACCCACTGCCCATATACCTCCCCAGCCTCCCCATTAACAACATCCCCCACCAGAGTGGCAATTTTTACACTTTGATGAACCTATATTGACATATCCTCATAACCCAAAGTCCACAGTTTACATTAGGGTGTATTCTCGCTGTTGGGTATTCTAAGTTGGGACCAAAAAATGTATAATGACACACATCCACCATTGTAGTATCACACAGAATAGTCTCATGGCCCTAAAATACTTGGTACCTCACCTACGCATCCCTCTTTCCCCCTGACTAATGACAAACTGACCCTTTTACTGTCTCCATAGTTTTGCCCTTTCCAGAATGTCATATAATACTGGGAGCACAGAGCAGGTAGGTCGTCTTTTCAGGTTGCCTTCTTTTACTCAATAATATGCACATAAGGTTCCTCCATGTCTTTTCATGGCTTAATAGCTCATTTCTTTTTAGTGGAAAATAACATTCCATTGACTGGATATACTGCAGCTTTTTTTATCCATTCATCTGCTAACAAATATCTTGGTCACTTCTGAGTTTGAGTAATTATGAATAAAGCTGCTACAAACATCTACACACAGATTGTCACATCGGTGTTTTCAACTTCTCTATGTTGAAAAGTGTTTTCAACTTCTCTAAACCAAGGAGTTTCTTCTGAGTTTGTTTTTTTTTTATAAGAGCCACAGCACATTTATTTTTACCTATATATAGTATTCAACTATGTGAATATACAGAAATAATTGCCATTTATCTTTCTAAAAATTGATAATAGGGGTGGTACTTGATTTCCTTTTGCTTTCCTGGATGAACAGTTCTACTTTAAATATACCTTTACACATCTCAGTGTTGTACACAATAGCAAATAATTGATAACAATTGGAATTTTGCATAGAAAAAATACATTGTAACTTGGTGCAGACAATGCCAATGTGTTTTCCTAATGCTTGCTATATGAGCTACTTGATCATTTTTAATAATTGTTTCGTTTTTAATTTTTTAAATTTGCTTTAATTAGTTATATATTATAGTAGATTACATTTATGTACTTTGATATATCATACACAGATGGGATAAAATTTCTCATTTTTCTGAGTGTAAATGTTGCAGAATCATATTGGTCATGCAGTTACATATATACATACAGTAATAATGTTTGTTTCATTCTACTATCTTTCCTATCCCCACATCCTCTCCCCTCCCCCATCACTTCCCTCTACCTAATCTAAGGTAATGCTATTCTTCCCTAGTACCCCTGGCCTTATTTTGAATTAGCATCTGCATATTAGAGGAAACATTCAGCCTTTGGTTTTGTGGGATTGGCTTATTTCTCTTAGCATGATATTCTCCAACTCCAACCATTTACTGGCAAATTCCATAATTTTACTCTTCTTTAAAGTTGAGTAATATTCCATTGAGTATATATACCACATTTTCTTTATCCATTTATCTATTGAGGGACACCTAGGTTGGTTCCATAGTCTAGCTATTGTGAATTGAACTGATATAGACATTGATGTGGCTGCATCACTGCAGCATTCTGATTTTAAGTCCTTTGGGTATAAACCAAGGACTGGAATAGCTGGGTCAAATGGTGGTTCCATTCCCAATTTTCTGAGGCATCTCCATACTGCTTTCCATAGTGGATGCACTAATCTGCAGTTCCACCAGCAATGCGTGAGTGTACGTTTTTTCACCACATCCTCACCAACATTTATTGTTGCCTGGATTCTTGATGATTGCTATTCTGACAGGAGTTTCTTTACCACATCCATCTCCCTTAAAGCATTAATCTCTAGGATATATAAAGAACTCAAAAAACTTAACACACACACACACACACACACACAAAACAAAAACAAATAACCCAATCAGTAAACAATAAATGGGCTATGGAACTGAACAGACACTTCACAGAAGAAATACAATTAATCAACAAATATATGAAAAAGTGTTCAACATCTCTAGCAATTAGAGAAATGCACATCAAAACTACTCTAAGATTTCTTCTGAGTTTTTGATGAAAATAGTTTTGTAAGATACTAACAAAGTATCTTCTGAAGTGTCCATAGAATCATACATTCCTATTAACAACAAATTAGAGTTCCTGTAGCTCCACATCTTCACCACCTCTTGTTGGTGTCAGTGTTTTGAATATTGGCCATTCTGATAGGTAATGGTATCTCATTGTTGCTTTAATTTGCATTTCCCTGATGACATATGAGATGGCACATCTTTTCATGTGCTCACTGGTCATTTGTTCATCATCTTTGATGAGGTGACTGTTAAGGCCATTGGTCCATTTTTGAATCAGGTTATTTTATTACTCTTAAATTTTAAGAGTTCTTTATATATTTTGAGACAACATTCATTTATCATATGTATCTCCTGAAAATATTTTCTTCCAGTCTGTGCTTCTCCTTTCGTTCTGTTGACAGTGTCTTTTGCAGCACAGAAATTTCTGGATTTCATCCAGCTTTTTAATTCTTTCATATTTTGTGCCTCTAATATTATATGTAAATAAAAAGTCATCATTACTCCTAGATCATCTAGATTTTCTCCTGCATTACCACCTAGGAGTTTTAAACCTTGAACATTTTTAGGTCTCTGATCCATTCTGAGTTCTTTTTTTTTTTTTTTTTTTTGAGGGGTGTAAGTTATGTGTATAGATTCCTTTTTCTTTCAAAGTATAGTCATTCCAGGACACAAAAAATAAAAATAAAAATAAAAAGACTATCTTTGCTCCATTACATTGCCTTTGCTCCTTTGTCAAAGATCAGTTAACATATGTGGAGAGGTTTGGAGGCTATTTTGTTCCACTGGTCAGTTTATGCATTACTTTGCCAATATCAATCACACTGTCTTGATTATCATAGCTTTACCCTAAGTCTTGAAGACAGTATAAGTCTTCTTTGTCCTTCTATATTATATTTGCTATTCTGGATCTTTAATCTCTCCAAATGTATCTATTTGGAGTATAAACTTAGAATCAATTTGTCAATATTTATGAACTAACTTGCTGAAATTTTTACTGGAATTGTATTGAATCCACAAATTGAATTGAGAAGGCTCTACATCTTGACAATATTGAGTCTTCCTATCCATGAACATGGAATCTCTCTCCATTTTATTTAGTTCTTTGTATTTTTTTTATGATCAGAGTATTATCGTTTTCCTCATGTAGACT